TCAGCTGAAACACCAGTGTGTGTGTGTGTGTGTGTGTGTGTGTGTGTGTGTGTGTCCCTCACCTCCCCCCCCCCAGGAACAGCAGCCCCAGCCCCATGTGGTGAGCCATGTGGAAGCCGTAGTTCATCTCTCCTCCGGTCCTTTTGTGGAAGAAGCGACAGAGCTGCAGCACCTTCAGGTTCCCGGTGCCGGACATCACCATGGACATCGCCAGCAGGATCATAGACAGACCCGTCTGCAGGTTGTAGTAGCCCGTCTGCTACGGTGACCGGAACGCAGGCAGACAGACAGAGAGAGGGACGGACAGACAGAGAGACAGAGCCAGACAGACAGAGAGACAGAGACAGACAGACAGAGAGACACAGAGAGAGAGACAGACAGAGAGACAGACAGACAGACAGAGAGACAGAGACAGACAGCAGAGAGAGAGACAGAGAGAGAGACAGAGAGACAGACAGAGAGACAGAGACAGACAGACAGACAGAGAGAGAGACAGAGAGACAGACAGAGAGACAGACAGAAAGACAGAGACAGACAGACAGACAGAGAGACAGACAGAGAGACAGAGACAGACAGACAGACAGAGAGACAGACAGAGAGAGAGACAGACAGAGAGACAGACAGAGACAGACAGACAGACAGACAGAGAGAGAGACGGACAGACAGAGAGAGAGACGGACAGAGAGACAGACAGAGAGACAGACAGACAGACAGAGAGAGAGACGGACAGAGAGACAGACAGAGAGACAGAGACAGACAGACAGACAGACAGAGAGAGAGACAGACAGACAGAGAGAGAGACGGACAGAGAGACAGACAGAGAGACAGACAGACAGACAGAGAGACAGAGAGACAGACAGAGAGACAGAGACAACTAATCACTATCTAAAGTACATGTATGTGAACACAGCATGAAGTACAGCTTTAACCCTCTGAACACCAAACATTAAGTTGTGAGCTCCTCAGTGAAACTATGAAGTCATGATTGATTCATCTGAGACCAACAGTCATGTGACAACAAGGAGGAGACACTCTGAGAGGCTGTAAACATGTGAACAGCTTAACAAACACGACAATGTCGTTTTAAAGCTGTCGTTTTGGGGATTGTTTAAAGAAAACACGCCGTTCTTTTAGGGTTCAGAGGGTTGAATCCCACCAACACTTACAACGGCCGCTGTGCCAGCGAAGGACATGATCTTCATGAAGGTCCTGGCGAACTCGTAGAGGCAGTCGAAGGCGTCGGAGTTGGCAGAGCCGGCGAAGCGTAAACCCAAAGCCATACAGGCGCCGGCGGTGATGTAGTCCTGAGCTTGGCTGAGAGAAACCAGTCACACGGTGAGTTCTGGTGCTGCAGAGAACATCACGACTACCACTACGTTAACAGTACTCACGCCATCGTCTCCATGTTGATGTCTTCTGAAGGGTCAAAGGTCCCCCTCATGATCTGAAGAACAAAACAAACATAGATGCTAACTCTATTACGTGTGTGAGCGTCTTCTCACATTAAAGGCAGCATAAAACAGCTCTGGTTACGAGTATCCTTTGTGATAATATCTAAAGAAAGCTGATGTATCCGTCACTGAACGGCCATTGCATTACATCATAATATCACATGTCTGTACCGTATTTATTCTGTTTCTTTATCAACAGGCATCATTATATTTCTAACCAGTTTTATATCGAACCACTGCCTCACTGCCATCAGCTGGAGCTAGCTTACAACTTTTGTTTTGTGCTGATTGTGGCGCCTCCCTGTGGACAACAGTGATGGTGTTTCCACCGCCTCGTGTCACAGCTCTACAAGTCACCGTGACTTGTTGCTGTGTGTGTGTGTGTGTGTGTGTGTGTGTGTGTGTGTGTGTGTGTGT